TTTACGAAAAATAGAGCTGTAAAAAAACATTTCCTCCAAAAAGTAGGGGAAAATGGGGTAAAATGGTCCAAAAAACATACCTGCAAGGCTCTCCGGTCTATGGGACCACGTGCAATCGATTCCCGGGACAATTTCCCTTCGGAAAAGTTATTTTTCATGGCCGGAATTCAGCGTGCTGTTGAGATATTGAATTTTGGGTAATTTTGGACCCATTTTTGCCCATAGTGGATTGGCTTGTTTGATGCGGCTGGTCTGGCTTAGGCGTTTCGTTCGCCCACAGCGAACACCGATGGATAACGATGGTACTATTCACCAAACTCGAAACCAAGCATGCAGGTTGTTGTACGCAGGGCAGACTTGGTAAAAACACCGCTCGGTGCGGCTCGGTGGCAACCTACTCATGTATGCACAGCACTGGGTTTCTTCGATAAAGCACCCGGTGTCGGTGCAACATGTTGGCACGCCACCGAACCAAAAGAGAAACCCGAACGCGGTGCTACGGGCTTCGGCTCGCCACCGTGCGGCACGGAGCCAACGAACCGCTCATGATTTCGTATCGTTCGTTGTTGGTGTTGCGCTATACTCGGTCCCATTTGCGTTTTTGTCAAAACTGAGTTTTTCAATGGAAGTGGTAGCAAGTAGCTCATAGTTTCATTATACTCGATGAACTCGAATTAGAAAAATGGGCAAGCAGGTTTTCCCTTTACATAAGAATCCATGGTGCTAAGCAAACTTAAAACGCGTTCTTAATTGCGTCTGTCATTTCTCTCGACAGGAACAGGGTCCGTTCGGATACGGATGTGTTGACCATTTTCGTTGGCACCGTCGAAAAATTTTCTCTTCCGGCAAATATAGACATTTTCTGATGGGAATTTTCGGTGGAGTGAAAGGATAGTACAAAGTCTGCCATGTTTCACGCGCAGTCTGACGTTTGCTTATGGATTTTCTCATAGGAGTAAAGAGCTATAGAGTCGCCGTCAACGCCAATTCTCGTCTACGATTATGTTTGGTACATATTGTGCCACGCTGCGTAAACTAGAGAAAGTTTTCTAAACAACGTTATAGTGAAGCAAATTGTATTCACCAGTGAAAAAAAGAACAACAAAATTAACTCTTAATTGACCTTTGCGGGAAAAAAATATGGTTTTAAGGCAATAATATTTGCCGCATTAATGCTACATGGAGAAAATCGCTGTTACATTAATTCGCATTGACGGCATTGGCTCTTCACAGAGTTATAGTTCCTTAGGTGCTGTTCATAAACTACGTAGACAATGGAGGGGGGGGGGCTTGGCAATTTTCCACGGTTTAAACAAATTTTAAAATTTCAGGGGGTCAAGAATCCCAAAAAACTGTATACGTAGTTAATGAACAGCGCCTTTGAGATTTTTCATTTGAGCGACAGAGAACGGAACAGCCCGCCATGCTTCACGCACATAATGACAGTTGTTTGTGGGGTTTTCTCATAGGAGTAAAGAGGTACAGTATCGCCGGAAAGGTCAATTAGAAAAGGAACGAAAAAAAAATTGGCAGACTGCGATAGTGGAAAAAAGAAGAAGAAGCACTGCATTCTGTCTGGCACCGGACCCTGACACGGAGCCGCACGGAGCGCACCGAATAACCATAGCACGGCACCAAGCCGAATAAAACGGCTCCGCGTTCAGGTTTCTTGTTCGTATCGGTGGCGAGCCGACAAGAGGTACCGAAACCGAGTGCGCGTTAGCTTTGAACGGGGAGCAATATTCTTGCACGGCTCGCAGTGCCGGTGGGTGTTTTCCCAAGTCTGACGCAGGGTGACACACCGAAAGGATGATGAAAGCGATACCACGTGGCGGGGAACTATTCCTATCCAACCGTCCGTTGCTCGTCCACTGACTCGGGGTTTGTGACGTGTAACCCTTACGGATCGGCAAGACCGGTGAGTGAGCACGGTCTGAAAGGGCGACTGAGGTCGTTTCGCGCGACGGTTGCATCCTATGGCTCAGGGCGATTGATGTTGGCCCCTACGGACTGAAGCATGCGGTAACAGATGAGGAGTGTCGGAATTCCTTTGGCTCAGGACCTTGGCTGGGGTCCCTACGGATCAGATCGGACCGGTGAGCACGGCCAAGCGTACGACGAACAAATTCGAAGTCTTCGAACACTCTCACTCTGCGTCCTATGGCTCAGGGAGTTAGCGTGGTCCCCTACGGACTACTAATGGCAGTGCACTAAGCGAACACTATGTGTCCACGAGGTGGCTCTCCTTCCTATAGGAGGTTAGATCACTAGCACTAGCTTGGTCTTCCCGCGTGGCGCTTTCGGTGTGGAGAAAAGTCTCGAGCCTGCGAATTTAGACCGAACAAAAAAACCTTCGTTCGAAGGTTTAAACAACCTTCAAACGAACCACGAAATCGTCTTACCACTGGTTGTCAGCACTACTAATCTCAAAGGTTTTTCCTGCCTGATGCTTTCTATAATCCTGCAAATTTCAGGATCTTTCTAAAACCGATCTGGTTTTACAAAAGAGGAGCAGTTCTTTAACGAGAATAAAAATTAGGCTATTTAATAATTGCGCCTTGTGCCACTTCTGGCTTTCACTCACTTTTAACAATAGTATAACTTTTTCTGACCCAGTACAATGGGGAGTACAATTCTTCTGTTTTACTTCACTATCTAATACACTGAACTGCTGCGACTGACGATCGATTGGCGAAAGAGGCCTGAGTTTTCTCAGCTTATTCTGAGCTGCCCACAATTAGAGGCGGTTATACTCGCGACACAATGTATTCACTGCTGCTCGTATTGTCACAGAGCAAACGAGATAGAGTTTGTTGCATGCTTCATGTCGCATCCGACATCGAGTAAATATCGCACGATCTTCGGTCGTGTCTCGGCTAACTTTTAGCTGTTCAGAATTATGGTTACAGGGTTGCAAGAGCCGTCATCGATACGACTATCGACTACTGTACGGTCTTGAGATGACGTGCATCGCCACCGAAAAGCTCGTGCAGATACTAGCACCAACTTTCAATACCTACGTTTGGATTGCCTCCGGTCTTCTTCCGTCAACGCCCGCCGATGCCGCATGCATCGAAGCGGGTATTCTGTCCTTCCGCCATCGTATAACCGCAGCAATTGCAACGCAAGCCGCTGCCTTTACAGCAATGACCTCCGGAAATGACAGGATCTTTCTCCTCGATGAGACGAACAGACTCCTCCGCATGGCTGCCAATTTGGAGCTCCAACCAGTGGCCAAGGTCCACTGGTACGGAGACAAAAGTTGGCGCATACCTTCACCAAAAATCGAGAGTCGGATAAAGAGCAGGTTCAAGGCTGGAGACAACTTTGCAGCGCTGAGGAGATCAGTAGCCGAACTGCTAGGCTCGGACTACCCAACCCATGCCCACATATACACGGACGGATCGCTTACCCGAGCCATGGTCGGAATTTGAGTAGCCGGAATTTCAGCACCGATGAGTAGCAGCCTACCGCCACAATGCTCGGTTTTCTCCGCCGAAGCTGCGGCCATCTTTGTTGCCGTTACAACACCCTCGGACCGGCCCATACTGGTGCTATCCAATTCGTACAGCGTGATACAAGCCCTTACATCACCCCTGACTCACCCCTAGATACAGGGTATTGTGGAGGCCAGTGGTGCCTTCTTCATCCGAAGAATCAAAGGAACGACGAGCAAGTGGACAGATATGTCGAAACTACGGGACCAGAAGGTGGTTTCTCGTCTTAGGGCAGGCCATACAAGGATCTCACATAGTTTTGGTGGTACGCAGTTCCCCAATAAGTGCTACGTTTGCGGAACCACTGCATCGGTGGAACACATCCTATGCCTGTGTCCACAATACCAACATCTACGGGAGCAGTGCGCACTTCCCAACAGCATTAGGGACATACTGGGCGACGAACCTTCGACTTTAGCGACAGTTATTCATTTCCTCAAGGACGCTGGGTTATACAACAACATTTAGGCCCTTTTAACGGTTGGCTGACGGGACATCTCTGCCGGACGGGGGATTATCCCTCCTACGGTGGAGCTCCGATCTCTTTCAGAAACCTGCATAACTTTGATGTACCAGATTGCTTTTTTTTCGTTGCCTGTATTGTTAGTCTTTTACTGGAATCTGTTGTAATTACTTCTATTTGAGTACATACATGTGAATTGTAAGCCAATTCCGTAACAAAATTTGCAGGCAGTACCCCCCTATTTTATAGAGATGAACTAGCCAACGGCTAAAAATCTCTCTAATAAAGACAAAAAAAATTTCAAAGTTCTATACATTACACTTCACGTTTGAGTTTACCAATTACCCACTTTACTAGAAGCAAAAAAAAAGTAGAAGCGGCAGCGTTACTGACAATATTTTATGTTTATATATAGGGGAAATGTCTCTAATATTGGCCTATGGATCTAAGATTGGGCCCATCGCTTAAAATCTGCTATTTATCAATTTTATCTAGATGAACGCGTTATTGGGACGTTACTAATGGATATTTTTGGTTGCTATTGAAAATTTAGTCGATTGCTTAATTTATGTATGAGCCCAAATTAGGGACACTTAGGCTGAAATTACCTGCATTTCCCCTATTAAAATATTAGCTGAACATGATTTAAATCAATTATCACAAACGGTTGAAAATATGTAAATGATCAATAAACATTGATAGTACAAAAAGCCTATCTGTCTAGCTAACCATAACATTTCAGCAAAGCGAAACCAGTTTTCTTGCACTGATCGTTAAACGAGTCATCGATCGTGTGGGAATTCCAAGCTTAATCTTTAAAGAATCCATGCAAATCCACATAAGCAGTATCAATTAGCAGGACACTTGCTGGAAGCTGCACACACTGTAAAAACAAAACTGCGAGATTAATGTGTGTTTGTATTCTTGTGGGATGGCTTTAGAGTATTCAATTTTTGAGATTGTTCAACTGGTTCTGCATGTGCCCGATGAGGATCGCTAGTCTTCGATCGAACGTCCATCCGTAAACAGTCAAAATTTAAACCGTGCAAGATGAGTTGGCCTCTGTCGGCATTTCTAGTTCTTATATTGGTTTTACGTGCTGAATGTCACGGTGGTGAATGTAATTGTCGTGCAGTAACTATAGGATTGATTTCACATCAAGTTTCATATTTCAGTCAAACCGTGCCATTTGCCTAATGATCCTACGATCCAAGGAAGATGCGTTCCAGTAGAGCAATGTCACGAAACCTTTTCAAACCACCAGAATCTTCAATTTTACCCAAACAGCGATTATCTTGAAACGAGAGTTTGTGATCGCGGCTTTGATGGTGTAAGTAGAGTGTAAAAAAATTCATCATTGACCTTTAGTTGATAATGTTGAACTTTATATTTGTGCTGTTATGTTTCATTCTCTTCCTTTATACCTTTTCAGTCCATTCACATTTGTTGTGCTGATGAGTCTCGTGACCACAGACAGTTCCACAGCTTAAAAAGACATCGGAATCGCCGGTCATGTCTCTCATTTCGCTATGCACAGGGAACGTGCACCCCGATCGAATCGTGTCCTTCGATCTACAACTGTAGCATGGAGTTGCAGCGAAACTATAATCCTACCTTGCATCTTCATTTAACGCAAAGCCTTTGCTACGAGGAGAACGGTAAAGTTTTTGTGTGCTGCGATGATGACGTGAAAGCTCCGTTAAAATTTTCCAAAAAATTGGGCTGGCGCGCGTGTGAAACTCCGTTCCTAGACAAAGGGAAGTGCGTTCCACCGAGTCGATGTGGATTGATTGGAGACAGCAAACATGTTCCGGAAGAGTACAATGCATTTGTGGAGGGTTGTGATCAGCTAAAGGATGTGAGCTACATGTGCTGTCCCACAAACGAAGTTCAATATGATACTAAGCTCGGCAAGAAGTGCAACACTGTGAATGGTAGATCGGGAATTTGTGTTGAATCGGATCGATGTGAAGATGCTATCAATGCGAGCGACAGTGAAGAGTACGTGAGAGATAATTGGTGCTATACGAATTTGGATCAAGTTGCATATGTTTGCTGTAGCACGAATAAAGTGTTGAAAAGTGAGTATTGTGTAGCAAAAATGTTATCCCCAAATGCCTTTTTTGTCGAAACGAGCAGAACATATCACACATAAATACATAATATCGTCGTGGGTGAGTCAATCGTCCGGTACGATACTATGGAATTCAAATTAAAATGGGGTGAAATCAACTCATTGATTGCATACCGATTATTTGGAATTCTAATACGGTGTTATTTGTACATTTTATATGGTTATGATCTGTCTCCCACACCATTCATTGCAAATTAAAGATGGATTCGAGGTTTATTTTCGATTGCTAATATCCGAGGGTGAGTGTTGCCCATTGATAATTTTAATGTGTAAATCAAGAAAAATATATTAACTAACAACCCAATTTCATTACTTCATTATGATGGCTACCAAGCCTTTGGGATTTTCCTTATTAGAGAGTTGAATAGATTTTTCTCCTTTAGCTTACTTAAATCTTTGGTTTTAATTAGTTAGGTAGGTTCCGATTCAACACATTGTAGTTTCATTTATATACCTGTGATCTTGACTTTTATACCTAGGGGATGAGTACTTAAGGGGGTTAGATTTTGATAAGTTCTTTAGTGGGAATGGCACTGATGAAGACTGCACATTGTAGTCGAAATACGTATCTGTCATGGATACCAAAATTAATTAAGTGGAATTAAATGGAAGATAACCCTATTTTGCTGTTTTATTAAAGCATTCCGCTAACAACCCAATTTCATTACTTCAAAAATATATTTGTTATTTGAAGAGTTCGACGCATACCAACATTCGAAGTACGCAACTGAACTGATAATTTATGATTTCTATTACCGTTTATGTATTTCATTGGTTCACGCTATGCAATCGTTCTTAGATAGTTAATACACGGATAAGCTTTTAGATCAGAAGTGTCTTGCAGAGGCAATTTCAATTTAATAATGACCAATTCCACGCCAAATCGGTCAGTCACCAAACTTGACTATCTTCGATCTGGATGATACTTGGCACATATTTTCAGTATGATAGACCAAGTATTTTCCGCAGGAGAGGAGACCCTTTTGACTCAAGGGTAATTTTTGAAAAGGGCCTATGTGTTTTTACACACATACTTTAAAAAAAAATTTAGTTCACAAATAGTTGGTTGTAGAAAAAAAATTAACTAAGAAGGAGTTGTAGGAAACTAATAAGGCTTTATAAAAAAAATATACACGGAATTTTTTTCTTCGTTTTTTTACAAAAAAAAAATTAAAAATAAACCTCAAAATTCAAATAACAAAAAAAAAGGTATTTTTGATTTTTTTTTTGTATTTTTTAAATAAAAACTTGAATAGAAAGCAGAAGTTTTGAAAACAATTCCAGGATGGACAAACTTTTAATAAAAAAGTTTTTCTAAGAGGAACTTTTAAGGCATTTTTGAAACTTTCATTATTTACGGCAAAATGTTCAGTTTGATGTTAGTATATGATTATAAAAATCATTTCAAACGATAGTGCTCAAATCGATAAACTTCCTAAATGTAACCGTTTTCGATATATTTCAAATTTACTTTCATCATAATCAATTTTTTGTAGAAAATATGCCCTTTTCGTAAGTTATACGTGATTGTCCATTAAATATGATAAGTTTTGCAAGATATGCATGTACTTACCTTCAACTTACCCTTGAAACAATAGACTATTGGAAAATTGGTTTAAAACTTATAAGATAAATAAGATAAATAAATGAAATACCCATGTGCTTTTATTTGCATATTACAATTACTTTCGAGCGTCTTTAATAATAATAATGTGTACATAAACCTTTTCGTTGGATATATTTTTATTTGATGAACTTTTGATTGGCATGTTTTTATATGTTATGAAGGTGCGTTCTTCGTCATTCGAAAATAGTTTCGCTGATATTTTATTTTCGGAAATCGGAACAATACAGTGATATTTTCTTGTACCTGGGATCGTTTTGGCCTTTTCAAAAATGCTTTTCCATTCTGCAGCCCACTGTTCGTATTCCTTTTGTGACACAAAACAAAATGACATTTTTGTAAAATAATCATTACTCTTCTGGTTAGCCCATGCATATAGCTCTGCTGCACTTGTGATTGGATGTTCGTGTTCTACAGCCACACTTGCGTTCCTTGCCATTCGTTTTAATGTGCCACCAATCGCGTCACATGGTCCCTTGCCATGCGAAGTTGCAAAAAAGTGCCATTCAACATCAATATTGTACTTCGTTTTAAATTTACAAAGACTTGCAAAATTTTTGCAATTTTTATATTTGGATGCAGCTCCATCAGACATAAACATTGCTTTTTTTACTTGTATTTTTGTTTGCAAAAAGGTCAGTAATTTTGAAATAAATACTTGCACCGCAATTGTATCGTGTTTTAAAACTTCAGAGATTACGATCAAACTTAAATTTTTAATTATACCTGATTCTGAATAATAAATGCAAAAAGGATGAATAGTAGCTTGTTGATTATTCCAGCAGCATCTTGAAGAACAAATGAATATTTTTTCGGAAAAATCACAAATTATGACAACTTCTCTATTTTTAAGAGTATTTTTTGTATTTCTCAAGAAACTGGACTGCTGAGTTTTAATATAATCATGGGATACCAGTTTTTCCAACTTTTCGCAAAAATAAGGAACAAATCCATCTACTGGTTTTACAAGTTTCTCTAAACTACATCGATCAGTTGAAACCCATTGTTCAAAACATATTTCAGACATACCCTGTTCCTCGATTTTTTTTCTGAAAAATTTCTTTCAAAATCTGAGAGACCTGGACAACGTTCGCATTCGCGGAGGTTACAATGTTTAGTTCTGGATGATGAGCTGCATAATATTCATTAATGGTTGAAATCTTTTTCGAATGAATATTTTCTAAAACAATGAAGCATTAAATTAATATTTTCATGGATGGTACAAACACAAATATTGTGAGAACCTGAACTACCAAGTAATTTGCAATGCTTTGGTTTTAGTGCTGCAAATGAACTAAATCCAATGCTATTGTTACTAACTTCTTGAAATTTAATAAAAACTTCTCGCAATGTACAAACTAAAAGTCGCTTTTGAATATGAATCTTCTTACCTTCCTTCTTCACTGAAACGTAATCGTTTAGTCCTGGCTTGGCTCTGCTTATCTGGTCGCTTTCGAAGAACTGCAATACCTCGTTTTTAATTTCGGGATCAAACCCGTGTCCTAACCTTTCGTTGGGGGTGGCCAATACTCCTTTCCCGTTTGCCAAGCATCGAGCTTGCAATACAATGTCCATTACCATTTGTGTTGACCAAGATTTCGGCAAAATCGTCAGAATCCTTATTTGATCGTCTCTCGATGAACCTGGATCAGCAAATCACTCCTTCAGTTGTCCGATCATCTCATTGCCCAGACAACCAGAATGCACGTATATTCAAAGTTGTTTTCGTGATATACAAACATATATACAAACAAAAAATTCGTATATCATGCAAAGAAATGGCTTATACGTAGGGGAGTGGAGGCCATATACGTGCAAATTTTAATTTAATTTTAAACGAGTTGATTTAACATCATATACGATTTAATCGGTAATAACAAATTCATTTTGAAAAGTCTTACGATGTAATCCGATTTAATTTGTGATACAGTACGATGGAAAAATGAGTCATCGCATATTGGTCGGAAATTTGCATTCTATACGATTTAACTTAAACATAATGCGAAGTATGCCCTTCTTATATGCGATTTTGACTAAAACTGTAGCAATTTACGATACTGTCTGTATATTATTATACGACTTCTGGTTGTCTGGGTGTGTTCCACAGCTTTCAATTTTAGATGCTCCAGGTCATCTTCTTCCGCTTGAAAACCGATGATGCGTTTCTTAATGCCATTGGTAATGTCCATATACTTTCTCCGGGGATAGTTAACATTCTAGAATTTTTTTGTCGATATTGGCGATACGTTGATACCAGCTATGCCCTTGTTGAATAGCTCAATATTATGCGTCCTGGAAAATTGTTGCTCTCCACTATCCTGAGATGATGCTGTTGTTATTGACGTAGTTGATGGTATTTCTTCGAGGCCATGTCGAGATGTAGATGGCGATGTCCATGACTGACGGTTGCACTTTTAGTTCCAGATTTTCAGCACATGGTTCGATTTTATTTAAATTCAAGCGACGCGTATCATAGATTGATAGAGATGTATCCAAATTAAATTTCCTCTCTAGGAACTTATGTTTTTCAATCAAATTTTCGGATAATTTACGAAGCTTTAACGAACACCGTTTATTAGGAAACGATACTTGCAACACTCGACCTTCTTGAATTCCATATTCAAATTATACTTGTTCACTCGAAAAGATTTTTTTAGTGGTGTCTGTTTTCAAAAGGATGGTCATGCTCTAGGTCATGCTTATATAGAAACGTAGGTACCATTTGGATATTCAGGTATAATTATTGTTCTGGTATTGAAGCTACTCTGCCAGAGAAGCTCTTTTTTTCATGAAAAATACCATGGAAGACATTATAATGTACCTAAAATAAAAAGATGGATAGGTACATCAATATTAACAACTTAAATAGGATGAAACTACGCTTAATAATGAAAATAAGTGCAACTTAACTTGTGTTGGTTTCTATATTTAAAATAATAGTGTTTACATTTCCCCTGTAAATTCTAAACGGGTTGTCTGATCGTTCAATCGTCAAAAGACAAATTGAAGGTAAATATATGTGTATGTTGCTAAACTTATCAATGCTGATGGAAAATCACGATTAACTTATGAAAATGGCTTATTTACTACAAAAAATTGATTTCAATGAAAGTAAATTTGAAAAATCTCGAAAACGGTTATATTTAGGAAGTTTATCGATATGTGCACTATCGTTTGAAATGATTTTTATAATCACATACTTACATCAAACTGAACATTTTACCGTAAATAATAAAATTTTCAAAAATGCCTCAAAAGTTGCTCTTAGAAAAACTTTTTTATTGAAAGTTTGTCCATCCTAGAGTTGTTTTCAAGACTTCTGC